GTTACGCAACTGTGATCGGAAACAAATCGGAAATACCTTGCAGGACAACTGCTATAGCATTGTAATGTATTAACTATAAATTATACAATGTGCGTTTAATCGGACGGACGATTTGCGTCGGGTCAGATCTGTAACTGCCACGCAATCATTGTCGTCCTGCCGATAGTTATGGCCGATGAGCTGTGCAAGGTATTCGACTATACCTATTACACGATAATTGTTTCGACGATAATACTATTATTGAAACGCTGACGTTGTTCGACCGCGTAGACGCGAGGGAAAAGTTATTATGTTATTTGAAAACGTACGATTTCTAATAACTGAATTTACTAAAATTGCAAGTGGTCGACGGATTAGGAATCGCGAAATCTATATCGCAGTACCGCGTCGTCCGAACGATAAAGCTCTATGTTCAATGATCCGCCAACGGGGAGAGATTAATAATATTAATAATCATATTATAATCGTTACACGAATGCCGTAGAAATTTATTCGACTGTATACGCATTGAGAAATTATAGGCACACGATTGAATGTTTTATGGAAATAGATTTTGTTGATTGAGCTTATAAGTCGTTATTGCATTAGATTACGACATTGAGAATTTCTAACAAATAAATTATAAATAATGTTTTTCCTGAAATATGTTCTAAACATATACAAGTGGTTTGAAAACAATAACAGATTAAAAAAAAAAAAAAAACTATTGTTTTCCTAGCTACTACACCTGATTTGAACAAGAGTATAATATTTATTATTCAGATGAAAAATATGCTTATCTCAATCATTATAGATATCATTTCAGTAAGTGGCAACAAGTATATATTCTATTAAATCCAGATTTGCGATAACATCATTATACATTTATTTGGAACAATTTTACAAAGGTTACAGTATTTACTCGCAGAGAGAAAAAGAGGTACCGATGCAATCATACAAAGTCGGCCGAAAAAAAAATCGGAAAAGGAAAGTAAAAACATTTCTATGTGAAATGAATACGAAATCAAGAAGAACGACTTTTGATTATTTCATTTTAGTTATCTATAAAAAATAAATAAATATGTATTTGCTCTGAAGTGGTTATAGTGATTAGGGTTGGGGATATAAAGCTCTGCGGGCACAAGTACGCCCATCACGTCGTCGGTCGACAATAAAACGATAATATGGTGACGTCGTTCGGTCGGACGAAAAGCAAAAGAAAACTACTAGTTTCTTGGGTATATATTATTATTAGAACATTCATCTTCATATTATTATCATCGGTATTCCCCATAGAGAATACAACATAATATTATGTCGTTATATATTATTCGTCGTATACTAACTAAATTCGGTTGAAAATATTATCATTGGTAGGTATACACTCAAATCTCAAGAGATTTGCGTATGAAAAAAATAACCTACGGAACCTATTGATATTGAAAGTTAAGCAAATAGTGTCGTGATAATATTGGTTTCAATAAATTTTGATCAATAGTTATAAAAGATATAGATACTAATTTATATTCATAAAATAACGGAAATTATCCATAATAATAACAGTAGTTACACAATCCGTACATAATTAAATCGGATATTTATGAATTTATGATTAGATCTTGAAAAACTCACAAAAATTACTTAATAGTTATGGTATATCGATAAACTAATATATGTATATTATTTTTGAACTTAAAAATTATTCTAAAAAACTTAAAAAATAATTGAAAGTATTACCATTTATATTTATGTATTTTACTCTGTCCATTACCATCGCAAGCCACATACTATCACGACTGAGACGTTCAAGTGGTCTGATTTAGTTTTAAATTATTTACATTTTTAATTATAAGCTATTTTGCAGTTTATGTATTACCAAGAGTAAAATATTTTTTTTTGAAAAATAACTATTATGAAACTATGAAACGATAGTTGCTTATTATTTGCGATCGTCTTATAACTAAATATAATACAGATAAAAACTTTACTGTCAGTGCAACATTTTATTGGCGTAATTCATGCATATTATATTATTTATTTTATTATATTTTTCTATATTTTGATAAAATTCACGCGTTTTAAATTTATCAAAGCAAAACTGTAATAAACTAATAAAATATTATTTCTGAATTCAAAAAAAAAAAAATATTGTAAATAGATATGAAAAATATTGAAATAAAATTTAGAACTTAAAATTAAGTGTAAATTACACTAAAAATAATAAAATGCTCTAAAAAATTAAAGCGAAATGTCAAATAAATTAAAAACGAAAAAAACTTAAATTTTATAATATTTTCACTTAACAATAAATAAAAAAGACCTAATAAAAATATTATTATCGTGGAACAACTATGAAACATACAATTTTCGTATTTTTAGTATGTGTTTAGTGTTCGTCTTAAAACTAAATATATTATGATGAAATCTTTTATATCAATATAATATTTTATTGATGTAATTCATGCATTTTAAATTAATTTTTCATAATAAAACTATAATAAACTTATACGATATATTTTCTGGACTCATAAATAATATTTTATAGGTAACTGTAAAAATATTGAAATACAACTTAAAATTACGAATATTCTATGTAAAATTTCTTAAAAACTGTTTTCTAGTTTTCTACAGCATATAGACAAAAAAGTAAAAAAAAAAAAAATTAAACCTAAAATAGTATAATACACTAAGTTAAAAATATGTAAAATAGATTTTTTACAAAACAAACACCATAAAGTTATGAAACAAAAAATATTCCTACCTACACATATTTGCGTAGAACTAAATAATATAATATTAACGAATATGTCGATGCAATATTTTTTTTTCGACATATTTCGTAAGTTTTCAAGTACCAATTAAATAAATGACGAACATAGATTATTTTTTTTTGGATTTATTTAAATTGTATTTCAATTTTATCATTGGAATTAAAAAAAAAAAAAAAAAAATTGTTCATCATTTTATTTAAGAGAAGTATTAATAAATAAGTTGCTATACTTGCCATTGTGTTATATGAAGATGACTGGACGCTTCGAGATGATGATTTTTGGAACGAACAATATTTATGACAAAAAAAATGAACGATTCAAATAAAATTTAAAAAGAAAAAAAAAAAAAAAAAAAAAAAGAAAAAGAAAAAGAAAAAAAAAATGATTATAAGTTTATTTCGTGTATCTGCACAATAGTATTGTAAGACATACACGAATAAACTAAACCGATGTTAGAATTCAGCAGGATATCCGGTGCCCTGGAGTCCACATCTCCAAACGCTAAACGATAGTGTCGCTGTGTCGCTTAGCTCACGGACCACGACTGCAGAGAACCCAGAGGGCGGCGTTTGTGATGTACACACGCGCGGAAGGATCAAGTCGTCCTGTTTCTAATACGTGGGCGTCAATTATTTTCCGGATTCGCGCCGAAAGCGTGACGGTAAAAGTTTGTATTATTACGCTCGCGCGGGCCACCGCCTGCTACAACTACACAAGCCTCGGTGATCCGAAACTACTATAATAATTATTGTCAACCGGAGATGAAAAACCACAGCGCAGTTTGAATTTAAACAAAGCAAACGATTTTTTTTTTTTTTTTTTTTTTTTTAAACGTCAAACAATATTAAATTAAATTATATGCTTACTATCATATAGGAACATGGCGTGATCTAAGTAATTACCCACTGACGCGATCTATTTATGAAGAATTTATATGACTACTGAAAATATTATAATACCTACCTATATGTATATACTTTATGGTGTTGACGAAAATAATATTAATTCAAACGTGGAGTCAACTGCAAGGACATAAAGTATAACAAAAAGAATATTAATTCATTAAAATAGTGTAATTTAAAAGTTATTCGCGTCAATAAAAAAAAAACTTATAAAATTCAAAATAAAAAAAAAATTGATTTGCACATTTTCTGTAGACTAATTTGCAATTATTTGCATTGCAATTCGTTTTGAAAAATATTACCTTAGATTGTTTAAAAAAAAAATCAGGCAAAGCGAGGGACTATGATAAGTTTGCCTCTTAAAATGGCTTATAGCTTTCGATAATGTAATAACTTATTTTCTTAAAAACCAATTTGCAATTGATTTAAAAATATTGGCATATTATATTTTATACCAGCGTTTTTTAAACTGTGTTCCACGGAACCCCAGGATACCGTGAAGCTTAAGTAATTTTTTTCATAATTTTCATGAAAATTACTTTAAAATATTTAGCTAAAGATCAGTAGTACCTAGTGGAGAAAAAAATGTTTTTATATTAAATAATAATAATGTACCTACATATAGTATAAACTCTATATTATATGAAATAATTAAAATTTTTATTGTAAATATAAGCTAAAATAAAATAAAATAGGGACTTCACGATAAAAGTGGACATCAAACAGGGTTCCACGGATAAAAATGTTTAAGAAACACTGTTTTACACAAATATATTCAATAAATAATATATTGTAACATTATTCACAATAAGTTATTATTGTTATAATTAGGTATGTACAGATTTTTAGAATAATTGCAGTAGATTACAGTACTCAATCAACTTACCTACATAGTCTTACTATTTGTATTTCAAATAAAATTTAAATATAAATTAAGAATTATTGATATTTTAATTTGGTTTTAAATATTGATTTTTTAACTTTTGTATTGTATATATTATTATTTCGGTTATTGTTTTAATTACCTATTGTTGTACTGTAAAATAATATAATAACTATATAATATAATACATAGGTATTACACATTAGATCTATGTACCTTTACACAAAATTTTGTATTTTCACCTGTACAACAACTTTACGTATATTTTGATGACGTGTTGCACTCAATTTGTTAAGGAAAATGGAAAGGTATTTTTAATAAAATTTTTGACAAAAAAAATTAAGTTTCAAGCCACCCTGCATACATCTAGGTGCTATTGTTAAATGCATAAGAGCATTGCTTTATCTTCTCCTTAACACTTGCACGGGCACAATAACATACACATTCAAACGATACCCAACTCACCGAGATATTGCTATATCCGCTTTTTGCAATGCTATTTTAGACGCCCTGTGCGCTGCGTTCACAGAGGCCTCGATCCGTTCCTTGAGCTTGGCCGACCTCATCAGGAAATAGTGTTTTTTCTTTTGAGATGTAATCAATACATTGTTCTTGTATTTGCCCTCTTCTTTCGTGCCGTCCTTGAACGTAGTCACACCATAACCATATTTCTTGTTGGCGAACCACTCGCCCTCATATTTAAGCCCGTCTGTTCTCTCGGCGATTCCATATCCAGATCTCTTGTCATTTTTCCACTCACCGACGTACGTTTCCGTTGTGTTCACGTCCATATGTTCGTCCTAAATTTAAAAACAAATATATTTCATTAAAAAAAAAAAAACACAATTTTAATTCCCCCCCTTCATCAGATGTTTCCCCCCCCCCTTCATCAGATGTCACTGCAACCCGTAAAAATTTAGTCACCACACAGACACACAGACATCGATATCGCCACCACGTACCTCAACGATGAAGCTAGCGTTGGAGTCAGTGTTATAGGACTCGCCCATCGCGGACTGAGATGATCCAGTGCTGATCCATGAAGTACATGACGCCGTGCTCCTAATGCTTCCCGAAACTTTCTTCTCCAGCTCGCCAGTGCTTCTTTGTTTTCGCATTTTGAAACCCTTGACAGAAGTTACAATTCGGGACGTATCAGTTAAGTTCATGTAAAAAGTATTATTTAATTCACAAGGCACCACTAATGGTAGGTAGTAAATAAGAGGTGAAGTTAGATCAATGAATAAGGGTAAACAGAATATATAGAAAACGCATCGAGAGTTAAATAAAAATATTTTAGTACTATTTGAGATTATAACTCACAACTCAACGAGTCGTGTGATATCCTATACAGACGTACAACCACAAAGTCACATCTATCATATCGACTATAACTCGAATACCTATTGGTGATATTTGTAAATCGAAAAGCATCGCATAATATTAAACAGCTGTCAGTGTATTATACCTTACAGTTTATACTATGTTAAATTTCGACTTCATATAATTAAGACCGGAAGCCACCAATTTCATATCTCGAGCAAAATAGATACGCTGTTAAACAAATATTTTACACAATTGATTACATTCTGATAAAGCAAACGTCGATAATTTGTAAATATTTGTTTTCCCTCAATGATTGACGATGTACGTTTAGAATATCAACCAATAAAACAATTAAGTAACAATTGAATAAAGTTTAACTAGTTTTGTTAGTTTTAAACAAATATATATATAACTGGTTTAATAAATATTGATTCATACACATACAAAACTGTTTTCACTGAATTATTTTCAAAAAATAGTAAATAAACGACTTTTGGCGTTTTAGATATAAGCATCTAATTTTAAACTTACCCACTCCATTTAAACTAACAACCATATTAATTATTATCGAACAAAGGAAAAATCTAACGATATATTTTTCTAGTCTCTGGACTCAGCAGAATTATATAAGTATATCCAATAAAAAAAAAAAATACGAGTGTATTTAACTATTAAAAATAGTAAAGCATATAATCGATATCTGTAACTAAATAATATAAGGGTATTGATTTATAATTATTTATGAATATAAAACAATTTATTTTATGTATTATATTACATACATAATTTAAATACTAAAAAATATCTTCAACTGTATTTATTTGTTTTTAATAAAATATATAAACAATATTATTTATAACGAGTAATATCACACGAACACCGTAACGTAGGCATAATGAGTTTTCCCAATAACACCACTATTTTTTTTGCATGGAATTCAATTAATTGAAATATGTGATAATAATATGTGAAACAAATTAATAAACCAATAAGACAATGATTGTCGTAGGATTGAAATAGTTTTGAAATGTAAAATTATCTAAAATTATCTAAAATTTATATTTTTAATGATAAATCAACCATAACGGAATCAATAGTTTTATATAATTATGCGATAAAATTATCAAGGTTAAATGTATTTAATAATCACATAAACCTTTTCATTGGAGGATTTAAAGTGATTTAGTTATTAAGACAAGCGCCCCGATAAAATAGTTTTTTTTTCTAGAGTTGCAGGATGATGCCAAAAAATAAATTTCATCTAAGACTTTGAGACAATCAACAAGTCGACGTATAGCAGTATAAATAGAAAACATACATCAAGTTTAGTTCATTATGCACTTATGTGTGTAATGGGTCTAAAATTAAATATTTTAAAATAGGCCCATACAAGTAATGTTCAACTGTTATAGCTATATAACTTCGATACAATCAAATTTAAGAATTGAGCCATGAGAATGTATTAGTACATTGTACAAGAAAAAAATAATTAATGAAACTGGATTTAATTATCATCGCCCGCGATGACATTTATGATGCTAGAACCAATTAATATATTTGTGGACATCGATAAGATTAAACGACGTAAAAATTTTAACCACAACTACACAACTGATGAATATAATATTGTGTGGAGTAAATGTAATCTAAATATTTTAATTTAGTCATCCAGTAATCTGTAAGGAGTGAAAAGGGTATTGACGTACGTGGTCGAATAACATAATAATATTTATAAGTTAGTCATTCGTATAATGTTTTATTATGTTCGTTACGTGTAAAAAGCTTATGAATAATATTTTAATACGTGTACACTGTACATTCGATATGGGGAAAAAATATAGTAGCACAAAAGTCGATTGGACTTCCCACGAAACAGTATTTAGTTCAAAATTACTTTTGTTGTAAAAATTGAATAATAAATGAGATAGGTACTCCAATTCAATGAACATTTTTACTCGAGTCCTGCGTTCCGAAAACAAGTTAAATTCAATCGTTAATATAATCCAAAAAAAATAAAATATTATAAAAACAAAGAATTTTTTCGGTCAGAGTACACAGAATTTATCACGCGAAAAAAACAATATCTGAAAAAATGGTAATAATGTAATGTAATTTATTTAACGCAATTTTTAATCTAACAAAATATATCCGAGAGTAAAATGTTAACCAGTTAACCATACATGTTTATAATTTGTTCGATGGTTATACCTCATGACAAATTAATTAATGTCACATACAAATGTGAAATACAGTAAAAGAAAAAACTATTTTATTTCAATTGTGAAATGAAAATGAAGAATTTGGGTATTAAAAACATAATTACATTTCGCTGGACATCTGTGTATATTATTATTGTACGTTTTAGATTAAAATGTAATAAGAAAAGAAACGTTATTACACTATTTTAAAACGAAAACATATTATACATAACCTATGATTGCATAAAAAATTATTTTTAGCTCAAACATTACAACAAAGGAAGTGCCCTAATATATCCGTCTATACATGACATAAATAATAAAATAGTTAAAGTACTAAATGTACATTAAAGCTGCTATAAGTGCAGGTTTGTTTTATAATTATAAAAAACGATATTTTACTTAACTTTCTTTGCGTAGGAATGTATTTTTATCTGTTCTGCAGTATATAAGATCTAAAAACTATAATTTCATCTTCTAGAATAAGATTTTCCTTTATTCAATAAAAATATTTTTATTTTATTTTTATGACGTAACATAAAAAAATGAAAAATATATATCGTTTTTAAATCTAATTGTCTTACATCTCAGTATTTTTTAATAAAAACATCTGATAAATTGTTAAAGAAAAAAACGAAATTTCAATAAAAGATTGTTTATTTATTTATTCATTTTTGTTGTTGTTTTGTCCAAGTTTTAATGTGTCTGCACAGATAATGAAATATGAAATGTCGTTACTTAATCATATGAGAACCGTTAACGAGTGTTTGTCATCCACGATACATTACACGACATAATACTATTCGATACAATTAAAAACAATTTTAATTACGACGTAACCGTCGTGAACATATTTCTAATTGATTCTATTCACGCATTGATAGTAATTATTGTAGTACAAATTATTGTAATTTAATCTTTGGGTAAGGTCACCAATGTGTTTTGTTAAAAATACGATCAACCCTCTTCGTAAAAAAAAAAAATAAAAAACCAAGCCCATTGTTCACCATTACGGCCAAGCTAATTGTTACACGGCCGTACCGATAGTTTTGAGACTGTCGCGGGATCAATATTGTTGAATCGAGTAGGTAAATTTTTAAAAGTTCGGCGCCATCACCGCGGATCCGTCAAAACAAAATCGTTAAACTTTTTATTTTTAGTAGGACCAAAGTCAAAAACTGCAGACAAACAAACCATAAAGTTTGGTCGAAAAAAACAATCGATTATTTCGGGGGAACTTCGTCGGGTGTACCGCGGATATATCTTCCACTGACACATTGTCGTGGACGCAACGACGATGGACATAATATTATTATTATCACTGTCGTCTATATGACACGATTATATAATATAAACGAGGGTCCCGTGATAGACGACGCGTCAGAAAGACGGGTGTTAGATATACGATAATCACGCCGACGCCTGGATACATATTGGTTTAAATCTACTCTCTTATAACGTACATAATCGCATATATAGTGTTGTATTATAATAATATTATTAATATTATTATTATCATATTATGCAACGCGTCATATCGTCAATCCCAGAAGTCGAAATCGATCAATCCCGCGTACGTTGAAAATTATTAACTGCACCACGATGATGACGATGACGGTATACTAATAATAATAATAGTAATATATCGGAGTTGAGATTTCGTCGAATTCAAATTATTGTTTTTGCGGTTGTGAAAAAAGTGCACTAACAATAGAACACCTATTTTTCGACTTTTTTGTAGAAACTCTCACAACTATAGGTGCACCACACGTCGTCATATACCATTTCATGATAATAGAATTTGAAATTATTGAACGTTGAAGCATTAACAATATAAACAATCGATAAATATAACGTAATATTTCGACGGTAAATAACAGGGTAATGAATGTGAAATTTATTACGCTTTTAGAAAAACTTATATAATCAAACAAACGGAAAAAAAAACAACAACAGTGGCAATGTATAATGCATTGTATGGAAGGCACAGTGATTTATTCAACTATATATACACATAATATATATATTTAAGTTTTTATCTTGTTAAAAAAGCTTGAGATAATTCGACGTTATTTTCTCAGTATTTATTTAAAAATTATAAGTAAAAAAAATAAATAAAATATCAGTTTAAAATATTTTATGATATTTTTTTTTTTGTTTTTATTTTTTTATTTTTTTTTTGTCCAAATTCGCCTTTTAGGGACGCTAAAATCCCGTCCCGTGTAACCTATAGCAATAACAGCAGCGATGTTATTTATTTTCCATTTAAACTAAAATAATACATATATATGTGGCAAGTTGATGAAATACAATCAAGTCAGCTTTTAAATTACACAAACGCGCAAATAAATAATGTTGTTTTTGCTAAAATGTAAGCGCGGCAATATTATTATACCGATAACGTTTTGCGGTCGTCAAACAATCAATACGTATTTAAACCTAGCAGCGAGTTCGCAATACACGATATAAGACCGGACGCAAATGGTTTTTTTTTATATATATTTGTATTATTATTATTATTATTATTATTATTATTATTATTAAAAACGCGAGGAATCGCGCGGGTCGTACAACAGTGATTGATGGCTATTAATTTGGCAAAT